TTCTTCTGTATGTGGTGGGGGAATATACTTGGTTAGTGTGATCCGAACTCGTACTCCGTCACATAAAGTGAACAAAAGGATGACTACGGATGTCAGTACAAAGATAGTTAGGCGCGGCGTTCGAGCTACGATATAAACTGCTGGTGCTCGTCTTCTTAGTTTGCTTCCATCAGTACTATCTGTGTTACTGATTTGGTCTCTTTGTTTCCGGCAGCGACGCCACGGAATGTGGCGTCTTCCCTTTCGACAAAGAGTATGGTGACAGAAATTATAGCGCGGGGTGGTGTATGATAGATCTACGTGTTTTACTAGTATATTTTCTGATGCAAAATTTACAGCTCACCGAATGTTGGTTTGAGGTGGCCGGTACTACTTACGAAGCGGATTAGGTGGGGGGTGACTTTCTCGGATGTGAGTACATGTGCGATGGACGTTGCGCTTCGTCCGACAACAGCATTTGCGAATATGTGACGTTCACGTCTGTACTGCGGGCAGTCGAAAATAGATCTTTTGACGGGTTAGTAATTTAGTAACATCACTGATGATCAATGCATTAGGGATGGGAAGACAGACTTCACGTTGCCTTTCCGTGAGCTCATAGGATCTTCGATGAAGTTTGATCGCCGCATGTGCTTCCGTACCCAAGATGCTACATCTAAAAATGCGGATCCGTTGAAAAGTCGCTTGCAAAGTGCTTGCGAGCGTTTTGAAAGTGGTTAGCTCAGGTCTGGCATCCGTAACCGTTTGTTTTTGGTTATGTTGCACCCTGACACAGCTTTCACGCAAGATCTCGTTGTATCGTCGATTATCATCACTGATTTAGTAGTACTGATATGATCATGAGTATCCAGTGATAATCTTCATTACACTATACAAGCTATATACATCGTAGGATATTATTTAGAATCGGATGAGCTCTCTCCGTTGCCTGCCTGCGATGGTCTAACATCCAGCACATACTGCAAATAACTATTGAACTCAAACTTTTCTTCATTGACAAGGGTGTCAAAAGCTTGCACGATCTCCTTGAATTTTTCTTCATGATGTTGGCCACCAAAAGCGTCAATGGTGATAACAGTGGATCGTTGTTTCTGCAATGCACAGTGAGTACCGCTGCCAACTGAGGCCATCACGTATTTGATGGACTTCAGTGGTGAGGCACCGAGAAAGGCTTCGCATCTCGTGCGCCACACAAAACAAACCATGCCGGCCATGATAAATGCATTTTGAAAATTTTGTGTTGACAGTGATATTCCCATGCTGAAAGACTCATAGTGAGTAAAGCGTTAGAAGTGTGAGATCAACATACCTCATCCACAGAATACGCATGCATAAAGAGTAGGGGATCAGTGCCCCAGATGAGTTTGCTCACCATTGTGATGCAATATTTTTCAGCTGTGTCAATCCACCCTTGTGGGGGAAACAGTTTGTATGATACAAAGACGCTGTCATGCGAAAATTGAGCAATTTTGCCACATATATTGGATAACGTGTTCAACACCTGTCTCCGATGGACATTAGTTATAAAATTTTCGATAACAACTACAAAATTAGTATGATGATATGAATGATTTGAGGAAAAACTTACCACCAACTTCCAAACAACAAGGTGTTGAATCTTTTATTGTGTCCTCAAATTGAGCAATATGTTTTTTCCGCTTCTGTGTCATCGTGTGTTTTGTAAATATCACCCGTGCAATCAAAACTTTTGCCCCCTTCACAGCATGCTTGATGTCATCATTTGACACACATACAGTCTTCAATGTCGCCGCCAAATGTTCAGCGGCGATGGGTGTTTGTAGTGCCGTTGTGTGTGCTTGTGATGATGTCGCGCGTGTCTGCAGTTCAGTGGTGCTGTGGGGGGCTTGCAGGATGAGGTATGGTGTTCCGGGTAGGTCAGCCCTAGTATTGCATTTTCTCATAGTACGTGCCGGCCCCCTGGTCTATGTAGCTGTTAGTTAGGGTAGCACAATGAATGAAAGGCTTACATGGACAACCTCTCCTCGAGGAATCTCCCCTTGCCATATAAGAGCTAGATTGGTAGCCAGGGGAATAAAGCCAGTCCCTTGGTCTACCACACTGACTCCTCCATTGGGGGCTTCATCGACCCATGGCAGTAAGGGTGTTCCATGCACGTGGGTACCCTCTTGAGGGCCCCTGGGCATGGTTAAGGACGAGCCATTGCATGGCTGGTCCCCTGTATCTCTGAATCTGTCTTGATCATAAGGGTACCTGTCATAGGATGTACTGTCATCCTGGGGCTGCAAAAAATTGGGCTGGGGGTTGGTTAAGGACGAGCCATCATATGGCTGGTCCCCTGTGTCTCCAAATCTATCTTGATTGTAAGTGTACCTGTCGTAGGATGTACCATCATCATGGGGTTGTGAAAAATTGGGTTGGGGGTTGGTTAAGGACGAGCCATCATACGGCTGGTCCCCCATATCTCTGAATCTATCTTGATCGTAAGTGTACCCATCATAGGATGTACCGTCGTCGTGATTGAAGTGCTGAGGCTGTGTGAATTGAGCGCTGAAAGACATAGAGCTGGATGCACTGAAAGATGTAGAGTTGGATGCATGGGAGTCATCGTATTGTGTGAATCCATGGAAAGAGTGCCGATCTGTTTTTTTTTGGCTCATTAGTTGTGAGTATGTCATATCCGCATATCCGGATCTCAGATCCGACCCTTATCTCAGATCCACATCTTATCTCCGATGCTATCCACATCTTATCCCCCTCTAACATCTCGTCATTCAATCTGTCCACTTGTCTGGTCTGGTCCACAACTCATCCGAATCCACAACCAGTGCTCGTCTCTTTTCGGTAACCCCCTAACTCCGGTATTTTGGTTATCTGTATATCCATCCTGCTCCCTTATCCGCTACCTATGTTTCATTTCCGTTTCATGATTTGTGATCCGTTTCTACTTACCAATAGACTATCCACATGCTTCGTACATAGCCTCGGACTCTGCTGATTGATCATTCCATTAGATACCTATAGTATATAACCTCCTGTAACTTTCTGTAGTACCTCAGTTCGAATATCATCTTAGTTCTGCTCATTCCTGTCCTCCGGACTTGAGTACCTCTACTCTCGTCACCCTCCAAGACTTAGGATTGATTCCTATAGTCTATCCGTATCCACCTCTGTCCCCGACAGTCCACTACTGTTAGTTTCTAGTCTGGACTCGTCTGGATTAGCCATACAATACTTATCCCTCATCCGGAAGTCATCTGGATCCATTATGCTACTCGTCCGACCTTCCAGATGTGCTAGGCTTGCCTTCCTGAAATAAGGGGCAATACTCAGGTAAGGGGCACAGCGCACGAGCTGAGGCCGAAGCCCTTCAGATCCAGTTACCCTTTGAGTACGACCTTAACACTCCTACAGTCTCCTTCACCCATTTAAGTGGGTGATTGGCAGAAAATTTGAAGCAGGTATGTAGAATTTCACCAGCAAGGAAGATGGACAGGCATGCACATATCCAATCATGCCAGTAAGGCATGTGGACTCCAGACAGATTGAGAGCTTTAGCCGCTTTCTGGAACTTGTCGAGGTCCCAGGGATCAACCATCTTGGCAATATCAATGAGGAGTTCCAATGTATGCTTCCTGGTACGAGGGGGGTGGAGGATCCCATCGCCAAAATGCTCTTGTGTTGCCATAGTCAGAGGAGATGCATTTTTAGCAACTGCAGCAATCATGGTGGCCTCTGGCAGGTCGCACACATGAGCTACAAGTGGCATGAAAACATAACAGATACAGTGGCTCAAAAAACTGTCTGCATGTTTTGACATTTTTCACTATCTATGATATTGTGTGAGAACGAACAAATGGCTCAAGGACATACTTATACCACATTGTAGTATGGCTTCAAGGCTTTCATTTGAGCCCTACACCGTGGGAATCGGTGGAGATATGGTGGAGACATAAGGCTTACAAAATCATGACTCACGCGGACAGTTTTTTGAGCACATATTAAAACTATATAAATCATCATTTATGACACCATAACAATCATGCCACCATTAAATAAATTATAAAGTGGTGTCATTATGTCATTTTAAAACCATATCTAACTATACAAACCAAAAATTTCCATATGTCATGGTTATATTCACCATGAAAGCCACCCCCCCTGCTCAAAGGGATAATATCCTCTCTCTTTCCTATTCTGGCCTCTCTGCTTGTCAAATTTCCTCTAGAACTGGAGTATCCAAGTCCACTGTGGCCAAGTTCATCAAAGAAAGTCACACAGACAAGGAAAACTTCTGTGAAGGGTGTCCATCCAAGCTCACCTCTACTGATAGGAGGGCTATTATTCAACATATCACTACAGGAAAGGCTGATAATGCTGTCCAGGTCACCTATTACATCAATTCCACCATCACATTCCCTGTCTCTTCACACACTGTGAGAAACATTCTCAAGCCAGCTCATCTCAGGTCAGTAACAAGGAAGAAAAGGCTCTCCTCTCTATCACACATAAACAGAGATGACTAACCTTTACCTTAGCCCATCAGAATTGGATTACATGGACTGGAAGCATGTTATATGATCATATAAGACCACAATAAATAGGATTGGGTCAGATAGCAAGGTATATATGTGAAAAAAGAAGGGTGCTAGTCCTCTCTGCATATGTGTGATAGAGAGGAGAGCCTTTTCTTCCTTGTTACTGACCTGAGATGAGCTGGCTTGAGAATGTTTCTCACAGTGTGTGAAGAGACAGGGAATGTGATGGTGGAATTGATGTAATAGGTGACCTGGACAGCATTATCAGCCTTTCCTGTAGTGATATGTTGAATAATAGCCCTCCTATCAGTAGAGGTGAGCTTGGATGGACACCCTTCACAGAAGTTTTCCTTGTCTGTGTGACTTTCTTTGATGAACTTGGCCACAGTGGACTTGGATACTCCAGTTCTAGAGGAAATTTGACAAGCAGAGAGGCCAGAATAGGAAAGAGAGAGGATATTATCCCTTTGAGCAGGGGGGGTGGCTTTCATGGTGAATATAACCATGACATATGGAAATTTTTGGTTTGTATAGTTAGATATGGTTTTAAAATGACATAATGACACCACTTTATAATTTATTTAATGGTGGCATGATTGTTATGGTGTCATAAATGATGATTTATATAGTTTTAATATGTGCTCAAAAAACTGTCCGCGTGAGTCATGATTTTGTAAGCCTTATGTCTCCACCATATCTCCACCGATTCCCACGGTGTAGGGCTCAAATGAAAGCCTTGAAGCCATACTACAATGTGGTATAAGTATGTCCTTGAGCCATTTGTTCGTTCTCACACAATATCATAGATAGTGAAAAATGTCAAAACATGCAGACAGTTTTTGAGCCACTGTATCTGTTATGTTTTCATGCCACTTGTAGCTCATGTGTGCGACCTGCCAGAGGCCACCATGATTGCTGCAGTTGCTAAAAATGCATCTCCTCTGACTATGGCAACACAAGAGCATTTTGGCGATGGGATCCTCCACCCCCCTCGTACCAGGAAGCATACATTGGAACTCCTCATTGATATTGCCAAGATGGTTGATCCCTGGGACCTCGACAAGTTCCAGAAAGCGGCTAAAGCTCTCAATCTGTCTGGAGTCCACATGCCTTACTGGCATGATTGGATATGTGCATGCCTGTCCATCTTCCTTGCTGGTGAAATTCTACATACCTGCTTCAAATTTTCTGCCAATCACCCACTTAAATGGGTGAAGGAGACTGTAGGAGTGTTAAGGTCGTACTCAAAGGGTAACTGGATCTGAAGGGCTTCGGCCTCAGCTCGTGCGCTGTGCCCCTTACCTGAGTATTGCCCCTTATTTCAGGAAGGCAAGCCTAGCACATCTGGAAGGTCGGACGAGTAGCATAATGGATCCAGATGACTTCCGGATGAGGGATAAGTATTGTATGGCTAATCCAGACGAGTCCAGACTAGAAACTAACAGTAGTGGACTGTCGGGGACAGAGGTGGATACGGATAGACTATAGGAATCAATCCTAAGTCTTGGAGGGTGACGAGAGTAGAGGTACTCAAGTCCGGAGGACAGGAATGAGCAGAACTAAGATGATATTCGAACTGAGGTACTACAGAAAGTTACAGGAGGTTATATACTATAGGTATCTAATGGAATGATCAATCAGCAGAGTCCGAGGCTATGTACGAAGCATGTGGATAGTCTATTGGTAAGTAGAAACGGATCACAAATCATGAAACGGAAATGAAACATAGGTAGCGGATAAGGGAGCAGGATGGATATACAGATAACCAAAATACCGGAGTTAGGGGGTTACCGAAAAGAGACGAGCACTGGTTGTGGATTCGGATGAGTTGTGGACCAGACCAGACAAGTGGACAGATTGAATGACGAGATGTTAGAGGGGGATAAGATGTGGATAGCATCGGAGATAAGATGTGGATCTGAGATAAGGGTCGGATCTGAGATCCGGATATGCGGATATGACAAGGAGCTTATGAGCTTGATACCCATTACATTGTCCAGCATAAGCAGGTTGGCACACGCCACTTCGCCAAAGGCATCACGCATGTCAAGCAAATGATGGGCCATGAATATAGAGATATACAATGCACTATTGTTACATCAATCGTAGGTGCCATTTCACCCAGATTCATTCACGCAATCTGCGGCCTTGTGGAATTCACATATCTCACACAGAACCCAGTTCATTCGCTCCAATCACTCCAAGCCATGATGCAGGCACTTTCAGATTTTCACTCCTTCAAGGACACTATCGTCGCTGCAGAAGTGAGGAAGGGGAAGAATGGTGTGAAAGAGGATTTCTTTATTCCAAAACTCGAGCTAATGCAGAGTTTTGAGGGTACAATCAGGAGGTTGGGCACATTGATGCAATTCTCAGCTGATACGACAGAGCGATTGCTCATAATGCACTGTAAGGACCTTTTCCCCAGATGGCTTGACAATGTAAAGATTTCACAGAGCAGTGTGTTTGTATTCTCAATCGTCAGGAGTCGATGGAAATCTTTGGTTTATATGCATTGTTGACTTCTCAGGGAGCATCACTGGTCAATGCCATACACACTGAAGATGAGGATGTCACAATCACTAATCCTGCGCTCTCCTGGGTTTCCCACATACTCCCTGACGAGGTGAAATCAGTTCATGGTCCCAGACCAGTCCGTAACCACTTTCTTAAGGGCATTCTTTCTGGAGATGCACTCACTGCTTTCCAACTGAATGTTACCCCAGACTATAAATCACTGTCACTGGCTGAAATACACACGAAATACACACTCCCTGACTTTGATCGCGTGCTCACCGACTTCATTCATCATTCATCCCTGGCCAACAGCAAGCACACCCACTGGGACCCCAAATATGGGCGCTTCCAGGTGTGGAACAAGTTTCAGCTGCAGCTGCACTCGGCCTTCCAGCCACGGGTCATCATGCCAGGCAGAGTAGTACAAGCATACCCGCCAAGCAATGATTTCCCCTTGGGTAACTGCAACACCATTCTTATTGATGGCCCAGGCATGGATGACAGCATAAGTATGTGTATTCCCTGTGTATTCCCTGTATATATTAAGCACTACTGATATCATATACAGTGAGTCATGTCACACAAGTTCGACTGATTTTTCAGCCAACGATTCAACAAGGTTCTGATGTGGAACTGCCAGCATGCCTTTCTAATCTGCTTCTCTATGTCCAGTATTTCTGTTTCATCTCTTGTCCTGAAGACCATCCTGAACTCATGATGTGGACCGTGGAACATGTGTACACTCATGATGCAAATGGTAACTGCCATAGACAGGGAGCCATCATGCAGGTTATGGATGCAACACATGCAGTCGAATTGATACCGGAGTATGGTGAGGCAGTGGACAAGAGCATGACCTCTGCAACATGCTTGGAAAGCTACAAGTGTTTCTTTCTGAATAATTTTGCAGACAAGGAGAGTTATCACGTATTCAGTACCAAGTTTGTATAGATAGTAGCTTGATCAGCATGTAGCAATTGTATTCGCATCTACCGTATTGCATATCTAAGCATATCGCATCTTATCATCCGAAGATAACTGGGCTTGAGTTTTATCAACCAGATATGGTGAGTAATATTGGCATTCAACATCTCCACCAATCGCATGAGTTCGCTAGTGAAGTCGTAAGCGTTCGTAAGTGTCCGTAACGCGCGTAACTTAAGCGTTCATTTCAGTGGTTTTGCAGATGTAGCATCAAAATAATGATTAGTCGATTAGGAATTTCTCTTTCCCCACACTCGTTCTTCATTACCGAGGTACACAAATAGTTTAGACGAGTTTTCTATAAGTGCAGCGATTTAAGCATTTGTTCAGCTTCTTTGTATCTTTTTCGAGTCCCCTCGATGACGGTGTCGTCGATTCCCCATCCCTCGCCGTTCCCGTTTGGTCCACTCTCTAATCCTTTTCTGTATCCAGCAGCAGTCAGCGCATTTCTGACATACTGCTTGTCAAAGCTTGGCTGTCCTTTTCCAGGTTCATACTGGTCTCGGGGCCAGTATCGCGACGAATCGGGCGTAAGGACTTCATCCACAAGGATGAGCTCGTCTTTCCCAACAGAAGTAGAGGGAACAAGACCAAATTCAAACTTCGTGTCTGCGAGAATAAGTCCGCATGATTCTGCATATTCAGCAGCAGCCGTATATAGCTGCAAAGACGCAGCCTGGACACGGTCAAATAGATCTTGACCGATGAGTTGAGCAGCTGATAAAATGCGCATGAGTGACTTTAAACAAGTTATACCAACAATATCACCTTTTTCAGGCGAGATATTCTCGTCGTGAGCGCCTTGCTCAGCCTTGGTGGACGGAGTGAAGATTGGTGTCGGGAACTTTTGGGATTCTTCCATCTTCTCCGGTATTGGGATACCGCAGACAGTCTGCGACTTTTGGTACTCTGCCCAGGCTGATCCTGTTCACAAATTCATCCCAGCGGTTCCAGGAGATTGTCCGATAACGAATCAACTCACCAGTGATGTATCCTCTGACGATCGCTTCCATGGGCACTACTTTAGCCTTTCTTACAAGCATAGTGCGGCCCTCGAGTTGCTCGCGGTACTGCCGGACTTCATCCGGCATCTCATCGATATTGACGGTAACAAGGTGGTTAGGAATGATATGCTTCAGCTTCTCGAACCAGAACAGCGAGATGCTTGTGAGGAGTTTGCCCTTGTCTGGGATACCCTAGAAGCAAAGTACATGGAATTAGGCAGAAAAGAGTTCAGAGATCCACGAACACTGTTGAGGATGACATCGTACACCGATATCCGGTCGGTTGCGACAAACAATAGATGATCGGGCGACGAAGTTGCATAAACGTCGCGGACCTTTCCCCTGGAAAGAAGTTGAAGGTCTGGCAAGTCCGTTTGCAGCAGGGCTGCCATTGTGGGGTGCACCGGTAAAGAAGAGATCAAGTAGACCCCCGGGAGCTCCCTATGATGTTCGGTCGCCCAAAATGGCTCTCAAACAGGCACGGTTCTGTTAACTTCGAACCACATTCTCCACGTCTGGAACCGGGCAACCTCACGTCGGGACATTCGTGAATCCAGAGATGTAGACAGGGCAGGGGCCCTTTAGACTAGATAGTACTGTCCGACATATGTAGGGTACATTACCCCGATGGGAACTAAAAAAAACAGTGAGGTATGGTTAATTGTCTCTTACTACATCCTCCTAGCGTGTTCGAATTCGTGTCTTAGGTATTAAAACTATCTAGTCGTTGTCTCCAAACACTGAGCGTGTTTCGTGTCTTAACTTCTAACACAACAGTTTGATTCTGTAATAGTCGACTGTTACCGAACTGGAATCTGCTACCGTGCTTCCGCTGGCTACGAAGGGCTTCATAACTCACAATATCCCACTGATGTGGCTTTATATATATGACTTTACATTCCAATGTAACAAAAACCTTTCCTAGTATATGACAATAAGGATCTGCGGCTCACCAGTCCTCTGATGCAAGCACAGAGATCGCGCGAAGCGACGACATCGACACCCTCGAATATAACAACGCAATGACAACGGGCCAAAAGCGTGATGCTAATCACAGCACGGTGACCATACTGTTGAATTTGATAACCAGTGAAACCGGGCCCGGCTTTATATTTACTGTTTCAGATTTTAACGTGGCCTTAATTAAGTGGGTGCAAGTACTATTGTATGTAGATTACTCGAACAACCCAGCGTGTCATGACAGAATATACTCCCGATTCCTTCAAAATCCTGCTAGGAAAGCTCGTCAAGACTCCCGAGTATTTCACTCCGGAAGACCTAAAACTTGCACTTGATCACCTTTTTACTCCAAATGCTACCCTTCCCGCACAAATAGGTGCATTCCTCGCTGCCCTCCACATAGGAAGAGTGGAAAGACGCCCAGAATCCCTCGCTGCGGCCGCTGAAGTGTTAAGGGCGCGGGCATTACAAGCAGCCATCGAAGATGGAGACACGGATTTTGTTGTCGATATCGTTGGAACTGGAGGAGATGGTCACAACACGTTCAACGTTAGTACCACGGCAGCCGTCGTTGCCGCAGGTGCAGGCGCTCGAGTGATCAAGGTAAGCTTATTCTGCATCTGCTGCAGTAACTTATCTAATGAGTCAAACAACAAGCATGGAAGCAAGGCTTCCACATCTTCGTCCGGATCGGCAGATCTTTTGCAATCCCTTGACTGTTCATTTACTGCCCCTTCATTAGGTACTCCCTTTCCCATACCTAAAGTACCATTCACCTTCATCCTCGCGCCTCATTACCATCCTGCACTCGCTATGATTGCACCGTACCGCAAGTCCTTACCCTTCAGAACGCTCTTTAATGTGCTCGGACCCCTTATAAACCCTGCACGTCCACGAGGAATGGTTTTGGGTGTGGCTGAGCGCGAACTTGGTCCTACGTTTGCTCAGTCTCTTCGTGAGGGCGGTGTCGAGCGCGCCCTCGTGGTATGTGGAGCCGAGGGGCTTGATGAGATTAGCTGTGCCGGCGACACACACGCGTGGCAATTAGAGGATGGCAAAATTACGGAAATCAAATTGCACCCAGAGCTTTTCGGACTAAGCGTCCATCCACTCTCATCCGTCGCTGGCGGGACGCCGATGGAGAATGCAGGGACATTCAAGGCACTGCTCAACTCGGGTAGTGACATACCGGAATCGCTGATTCCCGTTTTGCACTTTGTATTGCTGAACGCATCGGCGCTTTTGGTTGTCGCAGGCTTAGCTTCGGACTTCAAAGAAGGGGTTGCGCTAGCAATGGATAGCATAACTTCTGGACGTGCATGGGATGCCCTTGTAACCTTTCGGACTGCAGGTAGTGAGGGACTGAAGGAGTCAAGCGGATCTCAAAATGGCAGGGCTTGATGCGATCTTCGAAGTACTTTATTTGCCCGGCTTGCACACCTCAAACTTTTCAGTGATTTATACCCACAAGTTATTGCCATGTCTTGTTAAACAGGATTCTTCTACTGCCAACAATTTTTTATAGACAAAGTTGTAGCACTCGAGATTATCGTCCATCTTGCTCGCGAAAAATAGGAACCGCGAGGTATCTTGTAGATGTGACAGACTGTTTTGAGTTGAACAGATCACGATTGCAATGGAGAAGATAGTTCAAGCATGTGCATGACGCATTGCTTTCCATTGAATATACATGAGAAAGATGCAGGAAAATCGGAAGCAGCAGACGATATTGAACTCGAAGCGAACGCGGGGCATGAAGGGTGAGAAACTGCAGCACAATAAACCAACGTCTATCATCCTGTCAAGGAACCTAACGTTGATCCAAATGGTGCGTCATATATGTATGACAATAGCCTGAGTATATGGTGAGGTAGAATATTGATCGAGACAGACTGGGAAAATTGCTCCCTCACTGTCTGACATGATGCGGACAAGCAATGATGGCAGCAGTCTTACAGGGTTTGAATCAATTTTGATTGATGTTCATGCGACCGTCGGCCCTAAACGGAGGGGCAAAATGAACAATATGCGTGCCTCAACGGACTTTGCTAGATTCTGTGCATGCATACTCATGATGCTGGCGTGAATCCTGAGTTTGAACTTAGGGACTAATATTTTGATGAGCAACTATAAAATGCGTGAGCCTAGAACTGACCAAACAGAACGAAAAAAACACATCTGTGCTTTAGCTCGCAGTAAGTGTCAACTCACCAAGCTGTGGATCCAACTTATGACACTGATGGTCTAGATGGACTTATTGACAACCATCTTCCTGACATTAACAGCTATCAGTCCCCTTGGTGCGCGAGCCATACACAGCGCAGGGACTACCTACCAACATCTTGTCATGCGCCTGGATAGCGTGCGGGATATATTGCTCGGGGTATGCTGCGGACGTCCAAAGTTGCACCTTGTCCAACGGTATCCCTTCAAACCAGTACTGTTGTGATTGATGACGGAAATTGTGGTGTAGCAGCGTAGTGGTGTGGCAAAAGCATTGTAATGTGAATGAAGGGTCTGGAGATGTTAGCGATGAAATACTTACTTACGTACTGTGCACAAAGTAGATTGCATCCTTCAAATTTCAGAGTCCGAAGGAACAAGTTGCTTATTTCATGATGCGGGCGACGGGCGAGAATGTAGGGTGCAGTCAGAATAACAGTAAGTTTTGTTCTTAGTTGAGAGATCAACCGACCGGCTATCTCATGGCGCTGGAACTTACATTTTGCTATGCATATCAGTGTCGAGGTTTGCAGGCTATTTTGAAAAATACCAAGTTGCGGAGCTACGGCTGCGGCGTCGCACATTTACCCAAGGCATATTTTTATCCAATTCTAGCTTGCCCTCCTCTTTAGTTTGGCCCGCGGTGGGGTGGGCTTGCGTGAATAATTTGCAGACTCACTTGTGCACGTATTTGAATGGTTCAGAAGCCGTGGTGATACATGATTGGGCAAATAGAACACGCTCACATTTAAGAAATACTGATATCCTATAGGCAGTTTC